GGAGTGCTCGCGCCCAGGCTCAGTGCCCGGCGGGTGCCTCTCCTCCCTGTCCTGCACTCCTGTGGCACGCAGCCACCAGAGGTGGAATGAGGGCAGATGGCACAGAGGGTAGTGCCATTTGGGTTAAGGACACACACACAAAAAGAATACCCCCAGATGAACGTAGAAATATTCTGGAAGAACCTGAACAGGGTTCCAAGGTCAGGGGCACCGCCCTCCCGCCTGCCTTGGCAGCCCCCACCTGACCCCAGACTCACTTTCTGAAGCAGTGTGCAGCTGTGAGCACCCAACGGCGGCTGAGCAGGCTTGCTCCGCAAAGGTGGGAGCCCCAGTAACGCAGGCTCCCCTGCCATGGCCAGCGCCCAAGCTTCGAGTCATCTCCACCCACCACTCGCGACGGTTTGGTCTGCCAGCCGCATGGCCCTGGGAGGGACAGACGGATCCCAGCTCAGCCTCCAAGCCGGCTCGCCCCTCCCCGCCTCGGCCCCACACCCGCGGTGTGTAGGGGGGGTACCCTGGGATACCCTCGCCCTCCCAGGGTCCAGCGCGCACGCAGGTGGAGGAACGTGCCTGGCGACCCTCCCACGTGGTCTGCAGGGCCCGGCCCTCCCCCCAGGGCCCCTCAATTACTTAATAGCAGCCTCGCGTTCATGGGACCTAGGGCGGGAGAGGAATATAGATGAGACGCCCACTGCGCCCCGCCCATGTGCACCGCGCAGGGAGGCGCGATCCGGGCGCCTTACCTGACAGGTCGGCCTCCTGCGACTCTGGGAGGAGGCAGGAAGGTGACCTCCCCTTGTGGCCCGAGACCCTCCCCTTTTATCGAACCGACGCCCCCCCCCACCCCCCAGCGTGCCCCCAGCTGCGCGGCCCTCCATGGCTCCCCTGCTGCCTCACCACCACCCCCGTGCGGCCCCACCGCACCCTCAGCGCGGTTCCCTGCACACCCCGCGACCCGCGTGCTGCCCTAGCGTCCCCAACCCAGGGCGGCCCCCTGGGACTCACCTGGTATCCCGAGGGTCGCCCGCGCCAGCAGCAGCGCCAGCAGCAGCGCCAGCAGCAGCGCGCAGGCCCGCGCGCCCATCGCCTCGGCTGCGCAGCGTGGCGCCCCCTCTGCTTCCTCCTCCCAGGCCGGCTGGGCGCCCCCTGGGGAGCGGGAGCCAGGGCGCCCTGGCCCAGCACCTGCCCCAGCTGGGCCTCCTGGGCCGAGCCGTCTGGAGACCCTCAGGCCTCACAGCGCCCTGCCTTTCCGCTCCTGTGGGCCGCATCCCCAACCACGCTCCTTGGTGTGACCTGTGGACCTGTGGACCTGAACAAGCTCTTTCTTTTCTGCAGGCCCAGAGGCTGACCCCCCGGCTCCCTCATCTCAGACCCACTACTTCCCCCAGGACCCAGGACCGGGGACACAGCCCACAGCGGAGTCCCTGTTAAAGCTCATTAACAAGTCTTCATTGAGGGCCGACTTGTGGCCTTACATCGGGTCACCTGTTGCTAAACGTCATGGTCCCGGGTCGTGACCAGGTGGAGGAAGGACCCACGGAATGAGAGGCGGCCGGCTCCCCATCTGGAGGGCTCTGAGCCCACGTCTCTGCCCGCTGCCCTGCAAAAGGCCCCACACACTGAATGGAGCCCACGGCCCCCTCTCCTTCCTCGTGGGGGTGTCGTGGGGCTGCCAACGGACCCCAGCTGCCCTCGGATCCTAGCTGCGAGTGGACAAGTGAGTCGGGTCCACGACACCACCCTGGGGCAGTGATTCACAGGTCTCAGCAAACCAGCGACTCCTGGGCATGGTTTCCGCGGGAAGGGTGCACAGGTCAGAGCCCGGGAGAGCCCAGGGCGGAAGTTCCGGCTGCGGTCCCGGTGCAGTCTGCGGACAGCGCCCAGTGCGCCCGCCATCCAGGGCAGCAGCACAGGTGAGGTAGCAGACAGCAAATGAGGGAAGACAAGACCATTATCTGATCTGGATTCTGGAAGGACAAGTTTTCTCCTTGGATTCTTGCTTTCAATTGTGATCTCTTTTGTAAATTCTTATTTTGGATTAAGGACATAAAAGATTGTACATAAGTGGTTTCATCTCAATTTTCCTCTTTTACAAAACAGGTCTAGTTGTAGAATACTATTATAGTTTAGAGAACCATTCTTGGATCATTTTTCCTCTGATCCCTATGAATATTGAGGCCATGTAGTGTTTTTTGTTGTTGTTGTTGAGACAGTTTCGCCTTGTTGTCCAGGCTAGAGTGAGTGCCGTGGCGTCAGCCTGGCTCAGAGCAACCTCAAACTCCTGGGCTCAAGCGATCCTGCTGCCTCAGCCTCCCGAGTAGCTGGGACTACAGGCATGTGCCACCATGCCCGGCTCATTTTTTCTATATATATTAGTTGGCCAATTAATTTCTATTTATAGTAGAGACAAGCAAGGTACAAGCACATATAAATGAAGTACTCACCCCAAAAGATGTCTAATCTAGAAGCAATTTCTTTTGTTTTTTTCTTTTTACCGGAGCCACCCCCAAGAAGCATTGAGCAAGCGGACTCCCAGGAGCAATTTCTTTCCTCAAAAGAGCAAGTTGCCCTCAAGGAAACTAAAGTGAGATGGCAGAATACAGGGTCCTCCCATCAAAGCACCTAGGTAAAGGGGTCTGAGTGACACCACTCAGGGTTGGTGAGCCCCGCCCCCCCAGCAACAGTGCCTCGGGCAGGCGGCGGCCCCACCCTGGGCACCAGCACTTGTTCTCAAGCTCCCGGGCTCCCTGCCCGACTGCACAGGAGCCGACCTCACGGCGCCAGCTTTGAGAACAGAGGTTTCGTGGCAAGACCTGCCAGAAGGGAGACAGGAGGCTCAGCAGTGTCCCTGACTAGGGGGTTGGGGCAAGTTTCAGGGCTTGGAGGGGAAGGGAAAGGTGTGAGGCATGTTGGCTTGGCAGGCATGGATTGCAGGGCTTCAAATTTGGCCGTTGACGGCAAGGTACGTTGAGGTAGATTTTAGCCCTGGATCTTTTGGGCTAATGGACCTTTCACTTCTGAAAGAGTTCCAGCAGTCAGATTCCAGTCATGCCCGAGTATTCTGGGTCCCAAGGGGAGCAGAATCATTAATTCTGGGTGTCTTAGAGGTCAAAGAGCCTTTTATTGTACATGCCTGAGCTACATGCCTTGCAGTTTGGGGCTCTGTTATTCCTAAAAGCAACTCAACATTTTGCTATGAACAGGGTAGGCCCAGTTTGGGCTGGCCCCATGGTTACAAATCCTCTACATGTAGCAGGAGCTGAGATATCAAGAGAGAAATGCTCACCACTACTGTCCTTGTCCTCAGTGGGCCAATACTGAGCCCCCAGCAGGACTGTAGCTCAGTGGGCTAAAATGGCGATCTCTTTGGTTATACAAACTCATCAGAACTTCTTCCTTCCCTGACTTTGTATTATTATTATTATTATAGACAGAGTCTCACTCTGTTGCATGGGCTAGAGTGCCAAGGTGTCAGCCTAGCTCACAGCAACCTCAAACTCTCAGGCAATCCTCCTGCCTCAGCCTCCCAAGTAGCTAGGACTACAGGCGCTTAAAACCAGGCCCAGTAATTTCTATTATTTTAGTAGATATGGGTTCTCACTGTGATTCAGGCTGGTCTCAAACTCCTGACCTCAAGCGATCCTCCCATCTGGGCCTCCCAGAGTGCTAGCATTACAAGCATGAGCCACCATGCCCTGCCCCTCCCCTGCCTTGGTGTCCCTCCTTCTTCACCTGCTCCCTGGGACCCCTGCCAGATAAACTCCCTGTACCAACCAGGTCCTGGTCCTGGCCTTGGCAAGCCTTGCAGGGTCTGTGGTGAGACCGGGAGTGTCTGGCGTGCGTGTGCCAGGGAAGCCTGGGATGGGGACGTTGGGAGTGTTTCCTCCTTGGCACCCCCACCCCCAGCCTTCCCAGCCCCGACACGCTGCACTGCTACTGCTCTTCCTCCAGTATCTTCCCGGAGACAGCTCTGCCTTTGTAACAAAACCTGGGTATGCACGTGGGCAGGCAAGGACTAAGGGGTTAGGGCAGCTCAGGGCTGAACTGGACATGGGTGACTGGGAGGAAGTTGTCAGGGAGCCCCAGGCTGGAGGAACACTCTGCCAGGCTCACTCAAACGTGTTTATTGGCACACAGGACAGGAGAGACCAGAGCCGGCTCAGCAGGCAACTCGATCCTCACGGCGCAGGACACTCAAGCCCAAGCTGCAGGAGTCGGGGAGCCAGAGCAGCGTGAGGAGGAGCAGCGGCAGGCAGGGGTCTGGCCTGGGCATGCCATTCCGGATCATGTGGTTCAGGATCCATTGAAGTGCTGGCTGACATTGGTGTAGACACCGGCGGTTGGGCGACCACAGCCCATCCCAGCTCACGACTCCAACCTGATACCACAGTCCCTGCTTCTCGCACACCAAGGGTCCACCTGAGTCACCCTGGGGAGCAATGTGGGTGAGACCAGCCTGGGCAGGCTCAGGGACACAGAGGCCGGAGAGCTGGAGGGCCGTGGGCTGGGTGCGAATCCTACTCCCCCGGGCAGTCACCAAGCCTCAGTTCGTGCATTGCAAAAGGGGCCCACGCCTCTGCCTCCCAGGGTTGGTGTACGGATCACATGAGGTAAGGACACAGGCTGCTCTTACCCTGGGACTGGGCTGGTGGGAGGACACTCACGAAGCAGGAGTCCTTGCCGCCTTGGGCATAACCAGCGCAAACCAATGTCTCCCAGATGTTCATGCGGAATCAGGCCTTTGAAACAGGTGGTTGCAATGGAGTTGTTTATGATGGCAACCTGCACTTCCTGGAGGGTGTAGGGAATGGCAGAGCTATTGGGGGATGGGAGACAGAGAAAGACAGCAACTTGAGGCTCTTCTCTAGGATGGGTGACACAGGCTGGTGGGCCTGGACGCAATTCTTGATGACCCGGGCGGGGGGCAGCAACGCCTGGGGGTGCATGAGCATCGTGGGAAGTGGCTGAGGCCTCTGTCACCAGGCTCTCCCCACCCCTACCCCCTGCACCGGGCCAAACTAGCCTCCCTGTGGCCCCCACAGTCTGGGCCAGGAGAGCTGAGTGTCTGGTTCCTGCCTGGCGGTGGGAGCCAGCGCAGAGAGCAGGTGAGGAGAGAGGGGAGCAGGCGGCAGGGGTTCACCTGCCCAGGCCAAGAGGAGGGGCTGCTATGCCTGAGACTTGGGCACAGATGAATGAGGGTAGGACCTCCCTGACCCGCCTGTCCCCAGCCTCCGTTATGCTCATGGATGTTCCCCCAGCCGGTCACCCAGCATCCGTCCGTTCTCGAACTCAATGTGAGGACAGGACAACAGATGGCCATGTGTTTTAGAGTACACGACAGAGGTGGACAACTTCACCATGCAATGTCATGAGGTGCAAACCCCGTGAACCTGGGCTCAAATAAATACGCTCCACATTGTAACGATTGTAGTAGGCCTGAAGGTTCCATAAAGATGGCATGGAACTCAGCTCGCCAAACTGAACCGACCATGAAAAGGGGAGAGTCGACCTGGTGGGGAGAAGAGAGCAGTCAGGGCCCTGACAAGGTTTGGCCACCAGAGGCCAATGTGGAGGTGAGCTGTGGGCTGCTACTCTCTCCAGGCGCCATTAGCAGTCCTTCTCCTGGCCACACAGCCCTGTAGACATGGGGCAGCCCAGAGAGGCCATAGCCAAAGTGCCAGAACCTGGGGATGGGAGGGAGGGTGGTCTCGTCAGCTCACAGAGCTGTCCTAAGGATACTGAAATCCGCAGAGCCTCCAGCGGGACCCCAGCAGCAGAGAAGAAGAGCAGATGCGCCGGGGCGGGTGGGCCCAGCCGGACGCAGCCAGCACAGCTTCCCTGGAGTGCCGCGGCAGCCAGGCTCAGTGCCCGGCGGGTGCCCCTCCTCCCTGTCCTGCACTCCTGTGGCACGCAGCCACCAGAGGTGGAATGAGGGCAGATAGCACAGAGGGTAGTGCCATTTGGGTTAAGGACACACACACAAAAAGAATACCCCCAGATGAACGTAGAAATATTCTGGAAGAACCTGAAACGAGTTCCAAGGTCAGGGGCACCGCCCTCCGCCTGCCTTGGCAGCCCACCTGACCCAGACCCACTTTTGAAGC